GTATCAAGTCAGCTCACAGGGGGCTCGTATCAAGTCATCAAGGGGGGGGGGGGGGGGAGGGTTGTACGGACTCGTCCAAAATCCCCAACCAATGATGTGCCCTGGTCACATCTCTGCGAGCTTGTAGTAATGTCCAGATTTCCTGAAATCAGAGGGGGACTGAAAAGATCGACCCGCTGTTGCGATTATCGGAACACCGACTAAGGTTGATCTATTCTTTGTAAATCGGACCCTTATTAGACCATTTATGCAATAAAATGCATTTGATCGTTTTGTAAAATGGTCCACAACCTGAGGGACCATACATTCAATGCCCGTCACATAGAGTACACTGGACTGGGGTGAGTTAATCATTCAAACATGCTGAAACCGTGTGAAAATTTTCAATAGAAATTTTTTAAAATGACATAAAAGAAAAGGGTACTGTCGGTAGATGGAGCTTTTCAAAAACCGCTTAGAAATATCGATTGATTGGAAGCGATAGCGGAAAATGTGAAGATCCGTGATAAGTCCGTGTATGGAGAAAAGGGCACGTCAAATCAGCAGACGGCGAAGTAAAGGACGAGATGATTCAGCAAAGTGGAACAGAAAGGCTGATGAAAAACACCTTATGATAACAGACGTCCCGGCAACGCTATTAGGAAGAGAGGCGATCATTGAGCGATTTAAGCGATTTGTTTCGCCTGTAGACTGCTCCACAGAATTTCTACAATCTCATCAATTCCATACAGCAGGCCCACAGTTCACCCAGTCAGCTGATATCTATAAAGTGTTTACGCAGTAAAACCCAAATATCAATGTGATCAGTGATTATATGCACAGTGAAGTTTGAGAGGGTGACGAAGTGTAGGAGAGGCATGAATCCTAAAAGCCGCCGACTGAGGGACACATAACTGGTTCTGCCGCGACCGTCCGCCATCGATCATGCGCCATAGTATTATACTACCAAACGAATTCCGGCTTGCACCAAGGTAGATGTAGGTCGAACTAGTAATAAACTTCCCCATCAACAAAACATGCATCTGTTCCATGAGATTCTATATCGTTTTCCCCACACGAAAGTCTTTTTCCTCTCGGATGCATAGAGAAGCAGAAAGAAAAGTCCCACAATTTTTTCGCCAGTTGTTTCCTGCTGCTGTTGGAATGACTAACTTTATCATAGAATAGCAAGAAATAATGGAAGACATGTATAGTCTACTTTGCTGCTGACGAAGGGGTGTGCCAGACGGTATGAGTTTGGGGCGAAGCCAAATCCGTTCTCCACCAATTGTTGCAGCGAGCAAGTGACAAGACTGTACCATACCTCTCGTATCACTCCTCTGCCGAATAATGTCGCATACTCGCTTCAACAACTGGCAGAGAACGGGTTTCGCGCGTGGCACACTCAAGTGCCTGACACGCCTTTACATCCCAGAGACATCCCCGAACCAGAGTATAAGAGCCAGTGACAGTAGCTGCAATATGGAATAGGTTTATTGACGGATGGGAACTAGCCCAATTTAGAAAATGCTTTAAAATTATGGTTTTTGTCTGCTAGCTTACTACCCAGGCATCCACTTCTCCACCACTTCCACTTTCTCTTCCACTTTCCACTCATCTGGGCAATCGGCCAGATGAGCGGAAAGTTGTTTCCATCCCAGTTACGAGTGAATACCCATGGTGACGAAGGTTTCTGAACTTATAAAACATTGAACACCTTCAGGATTGTGGCTGTGAACTAGAAAATGAATAGAAAAATGGATGTGCAGTCACAACCTGAGAACCTTTCGTAGTCTTTACATTTTTTGACCTACCACAATTTGGAGGATTTTGAAGTAGTAACAGGGCATGTTTTAGTACGGGACACCTTTCAAAACCCAACCTCGCCCCTCCCCACTCCACCATACATCGAATGGGATGGAGAGGGCTGTACACCAGCTATACCAAATGGTAACTTGTAGCGTCTGTACCTAAGGCGCGTGACATGGGAAAGCCTTCCCAATCATAACTCTTACTAATAGGTGTGGCTGGGTGGATATTGCTCCACAGTGACAGAACAGGGTAATCCTCTTACCACTAGCCCACTAGTCGATACCGGTTTATCAGCCTAAAGGATTGCCTTCAGAATTTTCTGGGTTTCTGAGCAGACCACCCGCGTTTCCG